GTACGTCATGGCCACGATCTGACGTCCTTTGATGAACTTCGTTTCAGTACCATTCCGTACCTCTCATGTATTCGTTTGCAGTGATGTTCTTGATCAACAGCTTGCTCACCTGCTCCCTTCAACATAGCATAGCTGTCATGCAAACACCTAGCTTCACATCAATGCTCTTGTACTTGTTCTCCCTTGAATTGTTCAACTCATCCATGTTGGGAAACGGTTTGAATGCTGGAGGTTGCCGTTGCGGATCATCGGCAAATGAAAGCCTTAACGCAGCCCGAACGGGTTCTCGATGCGAGTAGTTGAACAATCCACTCCCTGATTGGTAAGTCAGAGCTTGAATTACGTAAGCCACATCGTTGTCCTGTTCAACAACGACTTTCCCCTTGTTGGAAGGACTACGCTGACTAGGAGTATGGATCTCAGGGTACCGCACTTCAGAACTTGCTGGACAAGCAAGTGCCCTGCCCATCCCAACATGCTCTCAGCACGTCTCAGAAGGTGTCATAAACGTTGGTCCTATCAAAAGGCATGACGTGAGGAGGTTGTCGGGCCGAATCGAGTTCTGGACTTGTCCTACTCTGAGTGTCCTCTTGTAGTCGAAGCTGTTGGTGTCGGCGTAAAGCATGAACGTCTTCATGCATCGTGGGTGGCAAGAGGTGATGTGATTCTGTGCGCTGCTCCAGTTCTTCGTTTGTACCTTGCAGCTTCGTAGCGCGATGCTTCTTCCCCTGCGAAGTCTGTCAAGAAGAGCTTGTGATGATGCTTTCAGCACGACGAATAATAGAGCATCTGTTGCTCATCTCGACCAACTCTTTCTCAGCATTCTGCATCCCTGCTTTGAGCTGCAGATTGTCCCAAGCACGTTCGTAGAGTTCATTGGTCATTCTTTCATAATACTCGTTAGCCATTTGCATCCCTTCACCGTGTGATTTCTCTTCCATGAGAATGATTTTTGCTGCATAGTAAGTGGTTCAGGCATGTTTCATGATCTTGCCGATGTTGAGCTTGACCCACCTCGGACTTTGGACTGATCGCTCATTCACTCTTCAGTGTCTGGTGAACTTGATTCGCATGAGCTGTCGCCGAAATTGCCAAATCACGTTGACGTTCGCGTTGTTCAATCCCTAATGAAGTATGTTGGTCCTCCTGCTCCACATTAGACACCAGGGTCCACCACCACCACCACCACCACGACGACTGCTGCTACTACTACTACTACTACTACTACTACTACCACTACCACCGCTACTGCTACAGTACTATCTGCTACTACTGCAACTACTGGAGCTACCACCACTACTACTACCACTGCTGCTGTTGCTGCCACAGCCGCTCTGCGACCGCTACTACCGCTGCTCCCACTAGCTACTAATGCTACATGCGTCGTTCGGTAGGTACGACGACAGATACGACTGCAGTTGTCTTCAGCTCTCTTGCTGCAGCTCTACTTCCGCGACGACGAAGTCTATTGCGATTCATAGTCACTAATTCTGCTGCAGATGCGATGTTTGTCTGCTATGGCTGCTCCCGCTTTTCTGCTTCAACTGGATCTGCTGAAGCTGCTGCGTTCTGGCCAAGGAGGAACCGAATCTGAACATTTATGTGCTACAGGCTACGACTTCTGTACAGTCAATCCGCAATCATACCGAGCTTCCTGCGACGACCTCCGCGTCGCGCTCTTTGCGAGAGGCTCGCAACTCCTGCGCCCCAAGACATGCCGGCGGGGTGACAAGGCCCCGGCCCGGCCAGGCCAGGCCGCGGGGCCCGTCCCGGCCTCAGGCATTCCTTCGTGGAGCCGCGAGAGGGCGTCGAGGAAGACCAGGCACTCCATGGCGCCGAAGCTTTTGGATCTCTTGGAGACCTCCGCTGCCACCCGAAGAGATCGGATGAATCGGATGCGACGTTTGTCCCCACCTCCGCCCCAAGCGCATCGGCAAGATCCTCGTTGAAGACCGCTGCCTCTCAGTGTGTGTCTTGTTCCGCTCTGTGTGCTGATGCATGATGCGATCATGCCGGTGCCTCGGCAAAGCTTCTGCAAAGGCTGGCCAGTTCGGGCGGAGTCAAATCGTAGAGATAGCGGGGCAAGGCTTCTGCAACCTGAGCGACGCAACATGGCAGGACATTTCGTGAAACGCGAGTTTTACTGCAACATTAATCAACCATGAGCCCTACGGCAGGCAGATATTGTTGACGTGAAATACAGAGCAGGACGAGCAGGAGTAGAGTTGAGAGGACGAGCTACCAGAGCGGCAGGAGACTGACAGAACCTTGAGCCCCGCACAAGCGCGAAAAGCTCTGGATTTTGCACCTGTTCCGGTGTCGCAAGATCCTGATGCTTGAGGTGCCGTTCGTTACCATATCTTGGCCAAGCACAGGCATCCGCGCCTCATTTGAGCCAACTCTGACTTGCAGTTTCTCGGATGTGTGTAGAGCTAAGTGCGACTGCGAGGCATAAGCGTCCGCAATGTGCACAAGCTCGCGAGGGCGGAGCTCTTGAACTCGATCCGCGATCAAAGGCACCATGCCCTGACATGTTCTTCCCATTTACCGACTCGGAAAACGCCCTCCATTCCGTTTGTGGTCTGCCTCGAGTAAATCGCTGTCGAAGGCTTGAGCCTTTCCACAGGCGATTGCCATTCGTCGAAGGTCTTGCGCGGAGATCCGTTCCGCTTCCTGGCTTGGCTCGCAGCGCGATGCCGCTTGTTCGCAAGTGCACGGCCTGTTGCGGCAAGCACTCCAACGCCCTAGCCTAAGTTGGGTAGATCCACGTCAGACAGAGCTCAAAGTATGGGCTGAATGACCTGAGACTCTCACTGACAGCTTGGCAAACAATGCAAAGTCAACCTGGGCAGTATTTTGGTGCCTCTGTAATCTGTAAACATCTGTAAACTGTATGTTGCTGTCCGCAGTTAATTCACTGCTTTGCTGACTTCTCGCAATTCCATGCCTAGGGTGGGATCCCCCACATATCTGGCCGTGGAGAAGGCTGACGCGAAACGAGCCGCCTGACACAGATGAAGCCCATCCGACTTCGCCAGGTTTTCTTCGCTTGTTACGCTACAGACATGCAAACCAATGCGGGAATGCTACAATAGAATGCGCAAAGATGCAACTATCTTTGTTTCTGTCATTGTTGCTGTTGCTGCTGCTGCCGCCACTGCCATCATGTAGCACCATACACTTAGGATCACCTGGGTAGCAGATGACAGGAGAACCAACATCACACTCTGCTTCAACAGGCCGACTGTGGATGTTATGATGTTACACCGGGAACTCTGGAGTCCTACAAATCTCGGAAAGCAGATCTGGCAGCTTGTGCAGCAGACCTGAACGAAGTGCACGATTAAGTCCTAAAGCTGCTTAGATCATGGTCGCTCAAGATGCATTCGAGTTCCAACCTCCTCGAAACGCAACTCTGGCAGCAGCTCCTCCGTGCGGGCGGCATATTTGGCCCACAGGGCCTGGCAGGCAACAGTAGGCTCCGGCTCTGGATGGCTCTGCGAAACGTCAACTCCGCGGAGTCGTGCCCCGACTCCATGCCAGTTGTAGATCGCAAAGCCGTTTTTTGAATGGTGCTGACTGTACGCTCCAAAAAGCCTCCGTGAGGTCGCCCTCTGCAAGGGCCCTGCGAGCTGCACGGCCCAGCTGCGCAGCACCCCAGTGCTCGACTTCCTCGCGGCTTTGGTGACGGAGTGCCTCTGACTCGCCGATCTCTCAGTCGCTTTCGCTCCGCTCTCATCCGCTCTCGCAAGGGCGCTCCTTCGGCAGGCCGGCGGACCTCCCGGGGGCGGGTCCCGCCAGGCCAGCGAGGGCCCGCAAGGCCGAGCGCATGGCGCATGGGCCATCGACCCGTGTGTTGTTTTTCCCCACGTTCTTCAACTACGGAGTGAGAAAAGGGCCTATGCCTATAACTTGAAGGAGAAGCGCTCAGATCCAAGGCTTAGGCCTAGGCGCTTCCCGCTGCTTCAGAGTCCCAATCCCCTGATCCAGCTCAGAGTAACCCCGCACGAGTGCCCGGGTGTGAGCCTCGTGAACGTGTGAGTCTGCCGGCTTTGTGCTGGTGCTGATGCAGACAGAACCGTCATCCAAGCCAAAGGCTAACTGACGGTTCCAAGCAGTCTGCAAACGTCATGCTGCCTAGCAGCTGAGAAGGTCAGGATGCATCAACGATACTGTCTTGCCCAAACGCCGCATCCGAATCTTCGAGGCGACGCGCTACAAAGGCCTCCATTAGCAGGACGGCCACCTCGGGCGAGATGTTTCACGCACCGCCCTTCACTGTTCCGCGGAGAAGCTGACGAAAGAATCTTCCCGCCTCGGAAGTCTTATGTACATCAGTGGCCTCATCTAGCTGCTGCAGGTGCATGGCATCCCACCTGTCCTCAAGATGCCGGGACCGCTATTATTGTTTCTGCGAATCGTGCGGCAAAGCCGGTCCTTGCCAAGCGTTAGCTTGTTGTTGAGCTCAATCTCCAAGGTATGATGAGCTCCCATTTTCACCCATTGATTCTCCTTCATTGCGCAGTCTGTCAGCTCAACATGCTCAACACAGCATGTGAATGGAGGTTCCTGGGCGCCGGTCGCCACGAACCTTTTTCCTTCTGCATGGCATCCGGCCAAGCACGCTGCCACTGCAGCTCGTTTAGCAGCTGTGCTGCAAGATTGTACAGCATGCCCGCAGCACAGGATGTGACAACTGCAGCGTAGCAGTCAGCGCTTGGGAGGCTCTTGCTTTCCAAACTCTGACGCAAAAGGGCTAGACCAGGCTCCCAGCAATTGGAGGTTGTGCATGCTAGCGTCGCCGTGTCAATTGACACTGCATCTGGAGTTGAGCTAGCGTCGCCTCAGCTAGCTGCAAACATCTCAATGTCAAGGCGCTGCTGTGCAAATGATCGAGAAGCAGACCCATGCATTCCAGCAAATGGCAGGGCAGTCGCCACATCGCTGCCTCCAGGTTCCAGAGCTTGAGTACACAGGAACTGCGAGAAACACCGACAACGAACACGCAAGAGCATCGGGAGGACTGGTTGCTTGACAAGGCTTGATTTTCCGTGTTCACGACCTGACTCTGACAGCCTGAATCACAGAAGGTACGAGTGTGCCCTGTGCCCGGTGCTATGTATGCCATGTATGCACACAAACGAGGAACGGATGCGTCTCCACACCACTCCACCCACGATTTCATAATTTGCTTTGGGACACCTCGTTGTGGCTGCCGTGGCTTGCCAGCACTGTGCAGCACTGATCTTCCCCTCTCTTAGCATGCAATTTACCACTTGGTAACAGCTCGTGGTACAGTGTGGTCGCGCACTTGGCAGGCGAAAGCTAACAGCTGCACCTTCTGCATGGCGGACACGACGACGTTGTAACTCACACGGCCAGGAGCCACTCGCAGGGGTGGCATTAAGTGAAGGAGTTGCAGCGCTGGTTGCCAGAGGCTTCCTGCGACGCGACGAAGGAAAAACTGCGAACAACTGCTACTGCTACGACAAGCTACTTTTGATGAGAACCTTTGATGAGAACAAGGGGCAGCCGCAGCAGCCTTAGCCAAAGCCCTTCAAGATGTCCTTTCTCTAAGCCACTTGATGCTGCATTGAATGTAACTTCGTTCGGACTGACATTCGCGGTGGCCATGTCCTGGGCTGCTCAGCCGATCGAGACTGCACTTTCCGCCCACGGAGTCACCAGTGACAAAGCAAACCCAGAAACCGCACCGAACCGGCCGCACGTGTGGCTCGCTTTTTCACGTGTCGCAACACCTGCGAGGAATAGGATTCATGAGCGAAGATAGTGGGACATCGTTTTGACTTCGGATCCGATACGGGCCTGATCTAGAAGTAGGAAAGGTGACTGAGGCCGGAATTCGGGGGGGGGGGGGGGTTCTTCAGGCGATCCACGCGGGGCAAACTTGATCGGACACCTTTCCAAAACTGCGCACATTCTAAGATTTCTGATCGCAGCTTCGAAGGAGCTTGCAATGCGCACGGTTGTGACATTGGCGCTTCGTCGTCCTGGCGGTGGTCGAGTCGAAGAGGCAAACCGCAGGCAAGCTGGGCCAGTTCTACATAGCCGCAGTCGGGCTTCTGTCAGCGGAAGCATCATCGGAACGTGGTAAACCCAGTGAGCTCAATCTTTGTCAGGTATGTCGGTGTGTAAACGTCTTTAAGCCGCTGTAGATTGAAGTTGCACTTTTCTCCAGCCCAGAGGCATTTCCGTTAACACCCTTCTTGCTCGGATTCGTTGGATGCTTTTACAAGCAATCGTCCCCAGAGCCTTGTTGATTGGGATCTCTTCAGCAATTCGGTTGCTTGTGAGTCTTTGAGTGACCCAGCCGTGCGGCGTGCTCCGGAATTTCCTGCGCGGAGGTGTGAAGCTGTTTGCCGGATGTTCAGTGATACATGCCTCCTGCGCGAGAGGACGCTTCAGAACACAACTGGCTACGGATGTTGTAGAGACGCACATTTTGCTGGCTGCCACGGCCGCGGCGCGTGGCCATAGGTGCTGGCAGAATGTCAACGACAGCTTCAGAACCCAACAAGTTGCGACCTGAGGTTTTGCCAGGAAATATTGACAAGATACTTCTTCCATCTTGGGATTCTTGGCATGCCATGAAAAAACGCTGCAGGTCTCACCTCTGAAACATGCTGGGCGTGATAACCCGGGATGATTGCGCGCTGGTGTGACAGACGAGCGGGGTGGAAAGAGAACCTGTTTGATATATGATGACCCATTTGCAGCAAGACTGAGCACTTTCGATTCTTTCCAGCCTGATCGAAGTTGCCCTACCATCCCTAATTGTATGGCAGTTTGAAGTTTGAAAGGTTCGACGATCGGAGAATCGAAACCCTCACGTTATCCCTCAGTCCGAGGCCGAATCCACTGAAATCAGCTCAGCAACCCACAGCAACTCGAGCGCAAGCTGCCAATTTCGCGCAGCTGCGCAGGCGCTGATCGCAGCACTGCAACCTTTCGCTATGAGCGGGGTGCCCCGCAATCCCAGCTGCAGACTTCACATGTCTTCACATGTAAGCCCTGCGAAGTGCTACATGTCAGAGAGAGCTAATGCGTCCACCAATCGTCTACGAGCAGCAAGCCATCTTGCTATTCAAACGCTAAGACATTTGGCATCGCCTCAGCCCGCGGCTAAGCGATCAGAGGTTCTGACTGAATCTGCTGATGAGACAAATCTAAATCAAGCCCTGGCAGAAACAGAAGCCGCTTAACTGAATCTGCTTGTGCGGGAAGCGGTACGAAATCAGCAGACGGAGCTGGGCTGCAGCAGTCTGCATCTGAATCGCCCCGACCCAATCCGAACTCATAAACAGCTCATAAACATTGGGTTGAATCCAGTGGGCGTGGTGTAGTGTGCGCGGATTGCGCGGCTACTTTCGTGTAGAAATCTTCATTCGGCCAGAGAGCTCACGACATCGATGCCTTGCGATGAGACGGCAATGAGGATAGCAAGCTGCCACTGCCCAGGCTCACATGCACTGATAAGCGAACTCCGTGTGAACTGATCTGGCTTCAGCCTTCCATCCAGCAATACTAGGCAGGCCCGCTTCAGTGCATGATAGTTCTGCACACTTGCTTGCAGACACAATTTCTGAAGACACTCAAACTGAGCTTAAACATCCGACCATGTTGTCACCAGACGAAGCATGCAAGATGCCCAGATGCCTCCACTGTGTCATCTGCTCGAAAATCTGCAAGGCAGCTTCCCACTCCAATGCCCGAGCACAGGCACCGACAGCTGCATTTACCGCAACGAGGCTCGGAGAGGAAAGGGAGAGCAAGTCAAGCAGGCAAAGCGCTTGCTGCCAGCACCCTTCTGGCATCGATCGCAGTGTTGCGCTGTGCGTAAAAGCATCCGGCTGCAGTCCCAAACCTTTGCCACTGCTTGCAAGCTGAAGTACACTCCGCCAGACGCTGCACCTCGTCAGTGCGGTGACTGCGCTGTTCAGTCCAACAAGATCAATCTTCTCCTTCAGCAAGAGCAGTGCTACAGTCCAGGCGGCCACATCTCCATCTCCACAAGCTTTTATGACCGTGTTCACTGAGACTTGGTCTGGCCTGCATACTGATCTTTGCAGGTCCTGAAAGACGATGTGCGCTTGTCCCCAGTTTGCCCACCTGGCCGTCAGCGCCGCATTGGCAACACTCAGTCGAAGGTCGCCGCGTAGGGCGGAGACTTGGCGCTGTCCCGCCAAAGGCTTCGGTTGCCGCATCAGAGTCATCATATGCAGACACAGCAGCCATTGGCTTCCAGCTGCGACTGAAGTCAGCGCAGATTTCAAGTTTACATTATCTGGATTCACTCTCCTGAGCCTCATGATTTCCAAAGCATCCACAGTCAGCCACCAGGCAGAGTTCAAGCCACATATGAAGTGGTTGTGCATGATCTGGTCTGGCAGGACGGAGCAGGCCTGCGAGTGTGTCATGTGCTCCAAACGAACATGGCAAGGGAACTGGACTCTAGATGACTCTAGGCATCTCTAAAATGCTGCCGCCTTTGAGCGGGCCATCATGTTGCACACATGTTCCCAGGAGCAAGAGGTCGAGACAGCCGCACTGTAGCTCACCTTGCCAAGCCTGCGATATACGTGCCGATCGCACACGCAATCACAAGCATCTTGTTCTTGAATTTCGGGACCCCATGCCGGCCCGGGCCTAAGCCTCGACTGCACCATGGCGGAGACTTCGAGCAAGGCTCGTGACCAAGGCGAGGCGGCCAAGAAAGCGTTGTAAAGCGCCGAATCTCTCCTTGCTGTGTTGCTCCAACGGTCCAACAGGCTCACAAAATAGCGCACAGCATGCCGCAACGTGTTGTGACCAGAGTCCTTGTTCCTGCCCTTCGGCAATCACTATGTAGCTGCTGTGCTTTGGACCATAAGCTGTCCTGTTTCCCAGCGCATGGTCTTTGCAGCACTGATGCTGACTGATAGCAGTAGACCCGCACAAAGCAACAAAGTCCTTGGAACAAGAAGAGATGAGGGAGGTGTAGCTAAGCGAATCTGGTTTCCTGAGCTCGGAACCGCTTCAGCAGTGACAAGGTAAAGTTCGAAAGAAGTGCATCCGTCATCAAGGCAAGTATCAACATCGATTGTTTCATATCATCTAGGAGTTCGGCCGCCTCGCACCATGATCGCCCCTTGTCCCATGCATCAAGCACCGCGTTGCAGTGGATCACGTTCACATCCTCAGAACAACTAGCATGGAGTCCGACTCGGTTTTCCATACTGCAGCACATTTTGGGCTTGTCGTGTAAACCTCAGAGTTTGGGTTACGTCTCGCATGTTCGTCTTTACTTCTAGCTGTTGATACGGCCGATTCAGCGGATGGGTGTGTGGTAGCCAGTTGCGCATTCGCTCGTTACGCTTCCACCCGCATAGGATGACATGCAGAGCTGCAGGACCTGTCACAAGAGCATGGCAGTCACAGCACGTGCCAGAGGGGCAAGGCAAACCAACGCAGGTCTTGAGGTTTTCAGGGAGTGCCGGGTTGTGGGCAGTCCCTGTCCACACTTCTGGCCAAGCCGGCGGACAGCCGCCGTCCACCCCAAACCCGTCGACAGCTGCTGTCCCGCCCTACGGCCCTGGGAGCCACTGTCCACGCCCAGCCTCTGGCCTGGGCCAAAGCGGGGACAGGCACTGTCCACGCCATCCCGGCCCCAACCTGTGCACCTCAACAGACTTCAATCGTAGAATCGTAGCCCCCGACACAGACACTGCTGCAAGACAAGAGACCAAGATCTGTTTTTCTCTGAGATTCTGAAGATTCCGGTCTCAACTCTGCCGAGAATCGACAGACTGATGTGCCATGACGGCCAGAACATCGGCAGCTATCGAAGGCAGATTTCTTGTCGCCAGTGCTTTAAGAAGGGCGGTTGCAAACTTCGGGTTGCGATGCCTGGCAAAGCAGTCGATGTGCTGTGGCTTTCCAAAGAACAGAGGGCACTGGATATGTGCCACAAGCAAATGTCACCAGCCTCACGGGACAGAGCATAAGTGCACAGTACGAGTAGCACGGGACAGCCTACAAAAACCAAATGCGAATGTATGCCCAGGATTTGCCCAGATGCCAGAGCTCCATCTCCTCTCGCAGTACAACAGCAACTTCCTCTTGCGAAAGCGGGCGTTCGGCCAGATCCACGAGCAGTTTTTCCAGGTTGCCATGGTTGCCTCGCTTTCTTTGCATCGTGTGATGGTCGGGTACCACCGCACTGCCACTGCGGCTGCTTCGGCCGCAGCCCACTCGCCGATCGTGCTGCTCTTGAGATCGCAGCTGAAGCTGCAGCGCCTCTCGAGGGGCAGCTTGAAAGTGTGGGAAGCAGACGGGCAGATGATTGGGCAAGGCCTCCCATTCAGGCAAAGTGCTGCCACTGCCATTGCACGGCGTTCTGAGTGCACGAAGCACACTGCAGATTCCCTGCTGTGACCATCTGTGGCCACGCAAATGCTGCGGAGAACTCGTGCACTCATGTGTGGTCATCTTCGTGCCGAACTTACAAAGACTGTTGCCTACGATGAACAGCATGTCCTCGCAGTTCTTGCCCGAATACCGTATGCAGTTTCCAGCGGCATCGTACTCAATGGACTTAACCTCCCATGCAGAAATGCAACGCCGAAGTCAAGTAGACTGGAGCTGGCCGATGCAGGACGCTGAAGAGGAGCGCCTCCACGGTCATCTGTATCCTTGCTTGCAAATCCCCGCAGTCAGAGAAAGCAACATGTGGCCCTTGCTCGTCCCAGCGTTCTCTCTCTCAGATTGCAAGCGAGTCTCTTTCGAACTTCAGTCTGGACGGTACCAGTGCTGCCTTCTTTCTGGATCTGCAAGGAGTTCATGGCTGGACTCACGAGCCACAGTATTCGTGGTGCCATCACGTGGTGCAAGCACAGCCGGATGTCAACAGTCAGTACCTTTTCATCGGCACGAGCCGCCAAGATTCGCTAAGCCGCCACCATGTATTTGTTCCGATTTGCTCCACAACACATCTACACGTTGGCGGGCCGTCGGCGGCAATTGCAGCTGCTGCATTGTGATCCGGGACACGAACCCCAATTTACAGATTCAGATGTCGTCGAAGTGCATCCGCGCATGCGGCGAAGCGCCGTCGGGAGAGTGGGACGATGCCTTGGCCTTTGAAGTCGTCTCCATCACAGTAGCAACTGGCCTTCAGAATAAGTGGCGCAGGCATGGCCAGGACTCCTCAGGGCTCAATGTACTCGCTGCGGGCAGGATGCCGTCACCTCCCGGGCACATTCTCAGGTGCTCCGCGACATGGACGCAAGCTCCGGCAAGCCATGTCAAAGAACCCTCTGATGGTCAAAGGCCAAGGTGCGCTTCTGCCAACTTTCTCGCGTCATATCTTCCAAAATATACCTCTGCCTCATGCTGCCACATCTGCTGACTTTGACATGCCAAATCACGCAGAAACGGAGTCGCATGACCTCTGTCTGTTGAATCCTTCAACACTGCATGGGACTTACGATTTCGGTGACGATACGCAGTGCTGCCACGCATGTCGTCACAGGACTGCACAGAACACCTGAAGAATTAGTTTTGCGAAAGAGGATCGGTGCAAGACGCCGCATACCAGCACCTAAGATCTGTGGAAATGACCATCTGCAGCACTGCAGGCATGCTTCGTTCATCCAATGGCGAAACATTTCGAGTGTAATTACATTTTGTGGAATACTGCTGCGATACACCACGCATTCGTGGTCATTCTTCTGGCATCAACTTGAGGGTGTTCCCTTCGGCACGGCTACCCGGACTCAGAAAACTTCTGCCTCACTGCAGGCCTGGCGCCCAGAATGCAAGGCCGACCAGAGCATAGGCAACATCCTTGCGATTTGACCGCTGTTTCTCTGCATCGATCTTAACCTATGCACCCATGTAGGGCAAAAAGCCTCTCTGACCAGTGACTGAGCCCAAACATACCTCGACTACTCGCATCCTGTCGCCCTGGTGCTCCACGGTTCCCTCTCCCTCTGCCCTCGAACAGGCCCCCACAGCCTGTCCAGCGACGGCTTCGCTTGCGTTTTGCTTGCTGAGAGTATGCTTGTGAATTGAGGGCCGCAAGGCTGCAGCATGCAGCTGCTACGTCAAGTGTCGGCTGGTCCACAGAGCGTCGCCGTGCAGTTGAAAGCCTTCCTGAGGGAAGCTCAAGCGACCGAAGCAAGGTGGAGCACAGGCACAGCTAGGCTGAAATGCTGGCTCAGCCAAAGTGACCTCAGGAGCTGCTTCCGAAACCAGTGTACAACATTGTGTTCACCTGCTGGATGACCCCAGGCGATGAATTGCAGAAACCACGAGAACACCCCGCAGCAGTCTGACAGGACGAAGAAGAGTATGCCTAGGCTGAGGCAGAGCGGGCTTCAAACCCTGATTTGAGACGCAAATGCAGGCATTTGTGCAGGCAAACAGGTCAGCATGAAATAACCCAAGGATCAGTTGCTTCCCAACCTCAACAGAGTGGCATTCCAACACATGCAAATTCTCTGTGGACCTTCGCTGTCAAACTTCCATGTGTCTCAAGAGTCTCAACCGAGACAGCCTGACAGCTGATGCGCACAGGCGAGACACCACCGGAAAGGTGCGTAAAGCGGGGCGAAGCGAAGAGCTGCTCGTCCCCAGAAAGTTGGGCGCTGTGCCAAGACGTCGCAGGCGAAGTAAAGCAGCGCATACCTTACACTTTCTCATCTTCCAAGGCGCACGCGAATCGAAGAAACATCCCTCGATGCCCTCTTGTACTTCTTTCGCTGCAGTGGAGAAGCTGAATCTATCGAGGGGCGCAGTGTCTATCGTGCAAACAGGAAAACAGCGACAAATCTAGGTGGAAGGGGAAAGACTAATCAATCTCCAAGATATCGACTCAAGCCCTTCGCCCAAGTGGCCACAACCATGTCAAGCCGTTTCGACTGTGAATACTGTGATGTAGATCCTATCAATGGAAGCAGGCGAATCGCTCCTGTCGTCACTGCGATCAAAAGTGTTCTACATGCTGACGGAGCGAGCAAGTGATTTGATGCTACTAAGTACTACTGCGCTCTGAGTTGCATCAGGATGGCAGTGCCGGAGGTGAAGAAGCTGTATGATGGCGACCAAAGCCGCTTGTTGAAAGGCAGCCAGCCCGACATGGAAATTCCGGCCACTGTGCAAAACGCTGCTAGCATTGCCCAGTGTACCATGACCTCTTTTGCAGACTTCAGCAGTCTCCAGGCGTGCCCAATTTGCAGACCCAAGAACATGGGCAACACTGCGCTCAAAGTCGTCACCATGCCCTGCAGGGAACACAGCAGCTGGAAGACATGATCCGCCGTTTCGATCCCCTCAGGGCCTCAGGATCGAAGCCGAAGTTTGCCGCAGCAGTTGGACTCACATTGTTGCCGGCAATGTAGAGATGGTTGATGCCCAGCACACAGCTGTCCAGCCAGCCCACGCTGCTACATCCCATCCTGAGGAGTGAGCAGTCCGCCAGTCGTGCTTCTCCACACTGAAATAAATGCCTTTCACTCTCTCTCGTACGAAAAAACATGGCAATACCCTGCTAGAAGTTCCAGTGTATCCTTCTGAGGTCACAGGTCCTTAGATCGGCCTACCTCAGTACTGATATGCCGAAATGGGGACAACGGCTCCTGCACCAGCTGGCAGTGCTGTCAAACCCAGCAGAAGGAGAAGGCGTGCTGTGCTGGAGCATTCGTGAGCTGGCACTAGCCCTTTTTGACCGCTGTGGTATTCCAAGGCTATGCCAGTTGTCGCCCCACCCTTCCAAGAAGCTGACTGACCTTCTGGGCAACAAGTTTGAGGACACGAGCCCTTGCGAGGGGGTGGAAAGGTTGTTGCTCGAAGGGCTTGGCCAGGCCGCTCGGCCCCCCAACGGCTGAGCCATCGGTTTTTCGAATTCAAGCTTGCTGGAGAAGAGTTCCTTGCAGTTGCTTGTCGTAGCACATGCAGTCCGCCTGCCGACAAGGTTCCTGCGCAGAATCTCTGGATCGTCAGGCCCAAAGAGCACGCCGGAACAGGCAGGCCAGGAAGCCGGGGGTTTCACTACGTAAGTGAGCAAACCGCCGAGCCCGACGATTAGGAGCACGACCTTAGATGGGACCGACACACGTCACCAGTAATTAGATGATATTAGATGCATCTGTGCCACTGCCCACTGCCACCGCGAATCCGCAAGAAGTCGAAGACCCAGATCAAAGCGGTGTCCTCCGGCCACACTGTCTCCTAACGATCATCCCACGCTCTGCCTGTGCGTGCCTTAGGACATTTTAGGACCTGGTCTTTTAATGCTGTGGCTGCAAACTGGAACGGTGAATCAGCACTGCTTGACGCGTGAACCCAGGCCGGATGAATGTAAAGCTTCCTGCAGACTGCTGGTGAAGCAGCTCACTGTCACTGGCTCTACTGCGAGAGCCAGGGATGTAGAGATCAATGATCATGACCTGATCGTGGGGAATACACCAGATCTAGCATTGAGGTACAGCAATCTGGTCGCCTGACCTCAATGAGATGACCTGGATGAAACCCTGCCGAGCATCTGCGAGAAACACCACCGCAATTCGCCTGACATTTGAGCGAGAGACGTCCGCAAAGTCGCACGTCCCGAAGCACCGTGAAGCAGACGAGATACTGCAGGATACCCATCACGCGGAAGGTGGCGAGATCAAAAACAAGCAGTGGACCTGCCTGTACATCCGAAGCCAAACAGCATCTTTTGGCAAGAACCGAGAACATGCCAGCCTTGGTCACGTGAAAGGCACTGCCCTGCACGGCAAGACCTGGGTCAAACAGACGGAGCGTCGCATCTCGCAGCTAGTGCTGTCGCTGCTCGAGTCTTGGGCCTACAAGGAAGAGCTTCAGGGAGCGCAAGAACACCCGGCCAAGCACTGAAGCCTCGACTGATTCAGCTTAGGGGTATGGTCGGGTGAATTCCAGCAGGAACCGGAACGACTCTCACAGTTGGTCAAGAGCTCTGAGTGCTCTGCACGCTGCATTGGGTGAACCTGTCTGACTTCCAACTGCCGTGCAAACTGCGAGAGAATGGACAACGGAGGAGCTTGACAGGGAGAGTGGCCGATCAGCAAGCTGTAGTTGACATTGCAGCCCGGTTGCCGGAGAGAGTGCTGCACTGATGCCGGAGATGAGCAGGAAGTAAGGCATCACGAAATCTGCGAGGTGTAGACCATCCCAGGCAGCATGTCCAATGCTGGGATATGCATCGCCAGCGATGTCCACAACCAGCATCACAGCCTTGGAGGGCAGAGTAAGACTAGGCAATTCAGTTTGATTAATGGAATGCTTTTTGGTCGATGCGAGCTTCACTACAGTAAGGTCTGCACCATCGTTATGCCTCGCATGACGTCGAGCCCAACCAATCGGCGCTTCGCGCTGCTCGAGGGTGGCACGGTTGGAGTCATGGCTGCAGCGAAGTCAAGCTGCACGGAAACTCTACACACCCTGCCAGACTAGTCCTCCTCCAGCAATTTCATGGAGCCGACAGACAAGCTGCATGTGCACTGCCATCACACATGCAAGACGGCACAAGACAATGAAATCCCATGGCTCTTGCTCTTCAGAGGGATAAAAGCATGAGGTGCACCCAAACCGACTTCGTAGGTCCAAGCTTGCTTCCCTCTCTCGCGCTCGTCCCGGGTCTTCTGCAAAGATTGAAATCCTCTACGGCCTGAACATGCCTGGACGGGTATGGCTGGCCGCTAGTCACGTCTTTCCATTCGGTCATGGAGTCTCTTGTGGCAGCGTGCCCTTGGCCACCCACCCCGGCCACCCCTTGCTGGTTTCGGAGTAAGGCGGCCTTGGGGCGATTCCGCGAGATGTCGCGGGTGGTCGCGGGCTTCTTTGCCACTCCCGCTTTCCTGGACTGGCGCATGAAATCCTAAAACAACTGCGTTGTTTTAAGACGCAAGTCGCGCGAACAGTAGCAGATATCAGCAGATTTCACCATCACACAGGGGACTAACCGCAACCTACCTGGTCCGACGGCTGCCTGCTGCATGACACCTGTGCTTGAGAGCCCCTACAAGCCCCAAGCAACCCTCAAACTCAAAACCTCACCCACGGGTTCTCCCGTCCCCTTGCCAGCCAGCCAGCTAGGGGTATGGAGACACGGTTGAGCATCACGGCACGCAACCAGTTGGTCTTGTTTTCGGGGGCAGGTCGGAGCGAGCACTTCCATTTCTCCAGCAACCCTTCCACCTTGTTGTTGGGTTCTCGCTCGCTCGCTCGCTCGCTCTCTCTCTCTCTCTCTCTCCCGGGCATGGGGAGTCGCTCTTTCTCTCTCTCTATCTGTGAGCCTTGCGGTATGTCATGGCCTTGATGGTGTCACCCTTCCTCAGCAATTCGCAACAAGAAGCTTGGGCAACGACAGCCGAGATGCTCTGCTAGGAAGCAGGCATGCTCAGGTTGAAAAGATGCCAAAGGTCTTCTGACTCCTCAGAGAAAAGTTGCGGCAAGTGAAAACTGCAAGTGGCTCAGCTGTGCGTCATCCCGACCTCTGCAATGAGAGTTGCAAGACCTTTGCCATCCTGGCAGTTCCAAGTCTTTCCCGCTACGGGGCCTTGGGACCCTACCACGGCTGCCATCTGCATCGCTGCAACAACTCTGGGATATGCAGACTGCGCAGGCACATGCAGGCACTTTTTTCACCAGCTACTACCAGCTCCATTCTGCTTCCGGACAGCGCAGAACGTCGAAGCACTCCGACTTGGCGCTGGCTCGAGGTACTGGGTCGCGCAGTATGTGCCCTCTCCCGCTTCTCCTGCTTGACCCCACGGTCGCACAAGCTGTTTGGTCCACGAGTCCACGAGTTCACGCTCGGCTTGGGAACAACTCATTGATCCGCTCGTCTGAAGGCTCGTCGAAGCTTCGTCCGACCTGACCGCGGCAGAAGCAGCACCGTTGTTAGTCAAACGAATCTACATGGCAAGGATGCTACGAAGTTGAACTTAAAAGCAATGTCAGCGCGTAGAGTTTGCGCCCTTCCGATCCCGACAGGAAGGCCTCCGTTGCGATTGTGCTTGGGAGTTTCCGACGTGCCTCGGCAGCTGGCTGGCGGCTGTGACATGTGGGTATTGGGCGCCAACTCCCTTGTTCCACTGAATGCAGGTGTATACGGGTTCGGGATCGGACAGGGCAGGAGCGTATGCATGAAGATCAAAACGACAAGAATGACGATAATAGCACTGATATGATCTTCTGTGAGCACGGTCAGCCCTGTACCAAAAGTGTTTGCATGCACTCGACGGGAACTTAGCCGAAGGATTTTGCAGGAAGATCCGCAATTATTTGGAGATCGGCAATGAGCCCTCGACAGAATGTCAAATGTCAAAGGGGTGTTGCAGCAACCAAGTCAATCAGTATGCATCCGGTAAGCCCGCGACAAGAATCCAAGGTGAGCTACCATCCTGCCAGAAAGACGGAGGAAATCGTGGCGTGCGGCAGCTGGCGGCTTTGGTCCTGCCTGCAAGGCTCTGTAGACTAAGCCTTCTCCCTCTCTTCCACAGAGTCGAATGTGAAAGGCTGGGTTGAAACCGTCGGAAACCTCCTGTCCAAGTGAGTCGACTTCGGAACGTTGCACACAGTTTCGCAGTGTGGCCAAACAAAGACCTCATGGCGACTAGAAGCTGCTTTCCTCGCGCAGCGGATCTTTCCGAACTCCACGAAGGCGAGAATTGAGAAGAATGAAGCCCATCTTGCTGTCAACCTCCCGAGCGGCAGCATCAGCCACGCGACAGGAAGGCTTAGCCGGAGGACATCCAGTCATGAGACGACAGCACTCAGTGAACATCTGGTGGTCAACCTTAGACTTAAAGCGAGCACTGTTGAGTAGTACCAGTGAATGCAAGTGCCAAAGTGCCAACCCTTCGTGACATGTCACGACATTCGAGTACATGCTTTGAGTTGTATGTCTTCAGTTTGCCGGAGTTACGGCCCCATGCCGCGTCGGCTACGTCAGAGTCGAAACAGCAGGAGAGATCGCGAGTCCAGCAGACTGAATAACCAAAGCCGACGGTGTGACCACATTTCCACAGATGGTATGCCCGCTCCCTTGAGACCTGCTGAACTGTTTGGTGTTGGATGATGACGGCATCTAACGCAAGTATTCCGAGTCGACACTAATTATGGAGAACAGGTGTGCCGGAACATGCCGGAACGCTATGGCTTCATATCGAGGGCTTCCACGGATTTGGGGGACCTTTCATGTCGTAGGGTCTCCCTAGTCAAGATCCTACAACAGCGTGCGGGATCTTGATTGCGCTTCGGACTTGATGAGTCGCTTGTGGAAGTTCCCGTGGCAATGCAGGCGGTAGGGTCTTCTGTCGTCGACTCGAGGACTTGCACCGAGACCGAATTTCCAAACTCTCGCACTTTGGTAGGGTGGGAGCTCGCAAAAAGTAGCTGGACTGTGATCTGGATGATTCGATATTCGAGCTCGCTCGGTGGATTTGATTCCCTAAGGACGTGCATTCTTCCGCGTCGCCAAGCACTAACATGCCGTCGGAACGCTTTTTGTGCTTGCAACGCCGTGAAGTTTTTTACAGCGGCTCGTGGCACCTCCTCGGCAGCGCGTGCTACTGCTGCCTGAGCAAAGCAGCTTCTCGGCCCACACTTGCCCCGGACTCAACCGGACCGGGCTCTGGACCAGCTGTGGTCTTCGTGGGGCCACGACGACCACAAAGCCACCACGCATGTCCTTCAGGAGCACGAAGCCACGGAAATGTGATGCAAATGCAGACTTCGGCCCTTGTTTTGAGAATATCTCTCTTGTGGGGGGGAGCCCACCGCTGTAGATGGCGATAGGCTCGCTCGTCACAAGGGCGCACGGTAGTAGTAAACTAGTACACTAGTTTAGTGCTGGCCATGGCTTGATTTGGCTCCTGGCTGGTTTGCAAGGAGAACTTCACTTCAATGGCTGCAAAGGCTTCGCTTACCCGCAGTAAGTAATTCGAAAACTTTTTGCCCACAAATGGCTCCTTAACCAAAGAAGAAAAAAGAGAGGTTTTATTGCCATGCCATGTATCACTGTATGTATTTGGAAAATTGACCAGGGCTGCATGCATGGAGTGCGGCCGCCGAAAATGGCACGTACTTCTTCAGGCGGAGATGACTGCTGGAGGCAAATGCCGACACCAGTGTCGTCTGCCTCCGTGGACGCATGGCCGCGAGCTGCGGGGACTGGGAAGCAAAGAAAGGCGAAGCCGAACTAACGAACCTGGTTTAGTTCGGCTTCGCGCTTTTCTTTGCTTTCCAGTCCCCCCAGCTCGCGGCCATGCGGCCACGGAGGCAGACGACACTGGTGTCGGCATTTGCCTCCAGCAGTCATCTCCACCCGAACCTTGTCGTGACATCTTCGGAAAAAACAGCTTAAATTCGCCGCAGACGGATGCGGCTATCATTAGCTCCGACACTGAACTGCTGTTACGAAAGCAAACGATGGCAATACTTTGATGCCTTATTCGTGGTTGCGTGGCTTTCAACAGACCGGCCGACAACAATACCTGGATGTTCAATTCCTGGTCCTTCCGTGCTGCTGAGAAGAGGGCCAACGCCAATATTTCGATACTATTCGTGTCTCACTGCTGTGCGAAGGCGGCAGACATCAAGACTCTGATGTCTGATTCGCGCTCACATGCCGAGAGCAAGACTTCGATCTCGCACTATTCCGTCTTATGGCTCAGCTGCTGCTGATGCTCCGTGTCAAGTGTGTCTTATTCATCTAACCACAACAGCGTGGACTCGGGGTTGTATGTGCACATTAAAGTAAAAATGCAAAAATGTGTGTATATTTATGTATGCATGTGAATTCGTAGGTATCGTCTCTATCTTTATCTGTTTGTTGATGTACAGACTGATACATATATATATATATATATGTAACCATGAATCGCAAGTCCCATTGAAACAAAGAATTAAGACGCAAACCCTGAACCCGAAACCCTATGGCGTGGGCAAACCTCTACTCCTGCGCGTAGTAGTAG